TATTATATTGTGTGCAACTAGAAGCAGCTCAGTATAAACCTGGGTGTTGGAAAACAGTTTAATTCCATCTCTCTCTTTGTTGGCACAAATTATCCCTATTCCTTTTGGTTCAAACACTTTTCCCTGTTTGCACTTAGCTTTCCTGTGTTGTTTTTTTTTTTTAAGACCCATAGGCAGTGTGTTACTCGTTATTGAAATGCTGTTGTCTTTTTGTTTCTTCTTTTTTTTTACAAGCTTCAGCCCTATTAGGAAGGGTTCTCCAAGTAAGTAACATCTGTTGGCTTTTGTCAGCTATTAAATCGTTTCAATTTAAATCTGTGGGTTTGTGTCCATGCTCATAAATCTGAGTTTCTTGTCCCAGCCCCCACCTGCATGATGCTTTTTACTGTTCCTGGTGGGGAGGTTACACTGAGGGCAATAAAAGCAGATTCTTCTGCAGCACTGTTACCTCTCAGCCTTTTCCATCAGTTTTTGTGCTTCTAATCCCTCCCCCAGGGCTGCAGAAGCATCAAGAAAAAAGAAGGAAAGAAGGAAAAAGCTGAAGAGATACCTGCTGATCGGTCTGGCAACCGTTGGGGGCGGAACAGTGATCGGTGAGGCTGCCTAAGGCGTTCTGGAGACTTGTTCTCGAATTGCAGGAGGGGCAGGAGGAGGGGGTGATGGTGTCTGAATTCATCATTCGGCAACAGAAGCCATCGTGTCTTTTAGCCCGAGCTCTAAATTTAAAGCATTCGCCGCTTTTCTGTGCCAGGCTGGAGGGAGCGTGTTGCTTTGGATACCAAAAATGCCCCCTCAAATGAAATACAACAGGGAAAAAAACCCCAAGAACAAAAGAAACCCCATATCCAAGAAATATCTTTTTGACCACATGAAAATAAAACGGAAAGAATTAGCTGGAAAAGTTATTTCAGTGTGGCCTCACCGGCTGGGGAGGTGTTAAACTGAGGTTGTTACCGGTAAAAACAATGTTTTCTACTCTTCTGCTCTTGCGTTATAGGAGGATCCAATCTTCAGCTCTCAATTCAAAATAGAGCGAGGCTGGGTCAGTGTTTCCAAAGCAAACAGGGCATAGCTCACCCCAGCCTACTGCACATTCCTCCTTTGGCTTTTAAATTATTCTTCATTTTTGCTGAAGTCGGTCAAAGAATCTGCTCAGATTCAGGGCTTAAGGAGGGGCTCAGAAGGCCCCTTTGTCAGCAGTTTTGTGCTCTCCTGACAGCAGTAGCAGTACTTGCACAGCACAGGGAAATCTTAGGAAGAAATTCTTCAGTCCGAGGGTGGCAAGGCTCTGGAATAGGTTGCCCAGAGATGTTGTGGATCCCTGGAGATGTTCAAGGCCAGGTTGGATGAGGCCGTGAGCAACCTGGGCTGGTTAAGGGCATCCCTGCCCATGGCAGGGGGTTGGATGAGATGATCTCTAAGGTCCCTTCCAACCTAAGACATTCTAGGATTCTGTGATCCTGTGAAATGCTGCCTGGTTTTTGTAAGCGATAACGGTTCGGTGATATTATTTGCGACATCTTCAGGCTTGACGGGGGGTCTCGCCGCCCCTCTCGTTGCCGCGGGAGCTGCTACGATCATCGGCAGCGCTGGAGCGGCCGCTTTGGGATCGACCGCTGGAATCGCCGTCATGGCATCCCTTTTTGGAGCAGCTGGAGCTGGCCTGACCGGTAAGAGAGTCTCAGCTCCTGAGGGACAGGATCACGCCTGCAAACGCAGAGCTAACGAGTTCGCTGAGCCCTGCAGAGTGAGGGAAGCAATTTGAGGTGTAATCTTACAACAGCAAGATTTTTATTTCAGTGCCAGTTAAGATACTGTGTAGCCCCTGATGACCAAGTAGGAAAAGAATATTGGGTGTGCAGCTGGAGAAGGAAAGGAGAGCTTGCTGCTTTGGGTTAGCGGGATGCTGCCACGCAGAGCAGCAGCTGTTACGGCTGATGGCTGGTCTGCAGCAAAAAGTCTTCTGCTGGGATTCCCTCAGCTCACACAAGCTCACAAGACTCACGGTGGCTCAGAAGGATCAGCCACGGACTGGCCGAGGGTTTTGGAAAGGGAAAAAAGAAAATCCATCCAAATTACCTGAGTCATCTCTTGCGAACTTCTACTGTTAGCAGAGTCAGTCCTTGCTGTGCAATTTCTGAGACTCGTGTTTTTTGCCTTGCTGTGTGTAGGATACAAGATGAAGAAGCGCGTGGGAGCCATAGAAGAGTTTGAGTTCCTCCCACTTACTGAAGGAAAGCAGCTTCATATCACCATAGCAATCACTGGGTGGCTGTGTACTGGCAAATATGGTAAGAATCAGAGGAGGAAACCGAGAGCAGCCCGGGGAGCCATGTCCGCGTTCTGTTCCAGGTGGTCTTTGTGCTCTGGGAACCAAACCAGATCCATGCTCAACTTTTTAACCCACTCTGCAATCCCCATCCAAACAGAGGAAAGAGAGAGGGCAGTAACGGGGTGGTGATAGCGGGATTGCTGGTGGTCATATCAGGGTTGTTTCTGTTAATCAATGCCGAGTGGTTTTGCTAGGAAAGGTCTGTTTGGGGTGGGTGATTCCCGGCACCAGTACAAAGTGTCTCGCTTATCTCTGAGACCTTATGTTTATCCTCTAGCAATTAACAGAAAACAGTGTCTTTTTTTCTTTGGCGCTATCTGCCAGATAACGAGGTTTATTGGCAAGAAAGTCCTGTCAAGTAAACCCTGTTACACGCAGCGTTCGGGAGGTGAGCTTAGAGGCAACAACCTTGAAAAGTCTGCGCTGTTTTGGTTGCCTGTCATGTAACGTATGTCACCTGCCTGCTGATGTGTTCAGCAACCCGACTGAACAGCTGCCAGTTCATGCGGAGGCACCACAATTAGCGCTGGCCGTCGTTCATGCAGAAGGTGGTCTCTGTCCTGTTGCTCGTTAGGCTGCAGCTCGCTGGCACGCCGAGGCTATTTCCACTTTGCGCTTTGGCTTTTCTCATCGTCTGCTTGCCAGGACTCCAGATCCTTGGGCTTGGAGAGCTCCCAGGCACCGCTGCAGAGACAAGTGGGTCCCTTCAGGAACCTTTTCGTGGCTGCCTGCCCTTAAAAGGGAGTTACAAATGGCACACATTCTTCTTCCATAACTAGCAATCTGCTATAACGTTTAAACAAGCAAAACTAGAATTGTCATCCCTTCTCCTGCTTACAGCTGCGTCTGTCTATTTACACGCCTGCGGGACTCCTTAAAACAGAGGGATCGAGGACAGTTTTTTTCCAAAATTCACTACCTTGTGATTTTGGAGCTCCCAGCAGCTGCCCCTCTGGATGTTCACAAATCCTGACAGTACCTTGTGATGCAATCTGGCACAGGGCTCTCTCGTGCCGCTTTGGTCAGCAGCTCTCTCGACCAGCCCTGCCTCGTTTGGGGAGGGAACAGTGTGGGAAGGGTTGTAATTAATTAAAATGAAAGTTCTGCTCTGCTCTTCACAGTTCATCTGCAATTAACAGCGTTGCCAGGCCCCTCCTGGCCACTTAGTACAAGCTGCCCTACAAACAGGAGAGAACGTGGCTTAAAAATTGTTCTTTCAGCCAAAGATCAGGCTTACGTGGTGGAAATGATCTGTTATCTCTCAAACATCCAGGCGTTGCTTTTGGTGAGCACCTGAAGGGAAAAAATATAAACAGTGGCTAACGAGGCTGGATGGCAAAGTAAAATAATTGTGTCTGCATCCGCGAACGCAGATTCCTTGTTTTCGGGCAGGGCCGTTCCTGCAGTCCTTGGTCTACTAACTGAAGTGCTGCAATAGATTTTGACAAGATTTTACCTGTTTTCTGCACTTTGGGTCCCACCGAACTTGGTCTCTGTGACCTTCCTCGTTCTCAGGATGGGCCCTCCTTTGGGCTGTACGAGGAGCTGGAGCTGCAGGACTTGGCCTGAGGTCTGACGATGAGAGGAACATCCTTAGTGCCTGATTAGTGTTAACCTCCATCTGTCTTGGTGGTTTCTCAGACAAGTGAATGGGTCATGAATTCTGACCCTGTCCACATTGAAGACTCTTTGCTAAGGCAGCTAAAGCCACATGATTCTTGATAAATCCTAAATTTATTGTTAAACAGTGGAAAACCAGAATCTAAATCTCACGGTAGTGTTAAACAGGCTTCCTTTTTATCACAGCATATTAGTATATCCCAGTAATTAATTTTCTGATTCTTTGCTGGCCACATCTTGCCAGGAGTCGGATGTTGTTGCGCTTTCTCTGAATTCTACCTTTGCCCCTTTTCTCAGGGAGCTTCACAGCACCGTGGAGCAGCCTGGCGCAGTCACGCGAGCAGTATTGCCTGGCCTGGGAATCCAAGTACTTGATGGAGCTCGGCAATGCCTTAGACACCAAAAAAAAATTTTGTGAACATGATGGCTCAAGAAGCCCTAAAATTCACCGTCTTGTCAGGTAAGAACCTAAATTGTATCTGATCTGCTTGAGTGACTCCTGTGCGGTTTGCCTGCTGTGTAAATGAGTTTTCCTAAGCAAGAGAGATTTCTGAGAACACGCCTGCCCTGGCAGCATTGGCACCACCCTGCAAAAGTGGCCTGAAACCCTTCTCTCCACCTGCTCTCTTGGGTTGCTGTGCCACTGCACTATTGGCTCCTTCTTTTAGAGCTGGAAGCACCTTCCTTCATGCAGGATTGTTTATAGAATCATAGAATCATCCAGGTTGGAAAAGACCCTTGGGATCATCGAGTCCAACCATTAACCCTACTTGCAAGTTCACCCCTAGACCATGTCACGCAACGCCACATCCAAGCGATGCTTAAACACATCCCGGGATGGCGACTCAACCCCCTCCCTGGGCAGCCTGTTCCAATATCCCACAGCTCTTTCCGTGAAGAACTTCTTCCTGGTGTCCAGTCTAAACCTACCTTGTTTAAGCTTGTAGCCATTCCCTCTAGTTCTGTCACTAATTACCCAAGAAAAGAGACCAGCACCAACCTCTCCACAATGTCCTTTCAGGGAGTTGTAGAGAGTGATGAGGTCTCCCCTCAGCCTCCTCTTCCTCAAATTCAACCGACCTAACTCCTTCAAACGCTCCTCATACGATCTATTCTCCAGGCCCTTGACCAGCTTCGTTGCCCTCCTCTGCACCCGCTCCAGCACCTCGATGTCTCTCTTGTACTGAGGTGCCCAGAACTTTATTTCTCTATGTCATGTTTATTTCTCTATGTCATTTCTCTATTATGTTTATTTCTCTGTGTCATTACGCTGTATTTTACTGCTTTACATAAACCTCCCAAACACGCAGGTTACATTCACGCACAGCGTCTGTTTGCCTCTGTGAAGAGAACAGACTCTTCCTTATCTGTCGTCTAGCAAAACACTTCTCAGATCAGCTCTTGAGAAAGAACAACTGGAAATGACAGACGATCCGAGGTTTAGCTTTTACCTCCAGTGAACCATCTTGCTTTCGATGTTTCCTAAGAGCAGCCCGGATTTGTGCTGTTTGCTTTGTGCTCCGCAGGGATCGTGACGGCGCTGACTTGGCCAGCTTCGCTCTTGACGGTCGCCAGTGTCATCGACAACCCCTGGGGAGTCTGTCTGCATCGCTCTGCTGAAGTAGGCAAACACCTTGCGCATATCCTGCTCAGTCGGCAGCAGGTAACTGGCTAGAAATCATCCAGGAGTAATGGCTGGAAGGGGGTTGGCCCATGGACGTTAAGTTTTACAGCCAGGCTAGTTAATTAGCAAGTGGGATCTTTTCAGGGAGACAAAAATTAATAATCAACTGAGAAATGGGAAAAAAAAAAATGCTGTGTGAAGGTGACTGGCAGGTATCTGGCTTACTGGGGAAAAATAGGAAGTCCTGAGTGAATCAGAGGAATCCTGCCAACATCCCTTCCATTTCACCCGATGCTTTCCTAAAGGAGGAGGGAGGGATCCAGGTCATAAATGACCATGTCACCAAACATCCAGGCCAACTCACCCAATGGGAATTTGAGAACAGAAAGTAAAAACAGGTGAAAAGGAAAAGAGAGCCCAGAGTGTTCAAAATATTCACCGACGGTGAAGAGGCACTCGTAAAGTGATGTAAGGGAAGGCTGTGCAGCAGGAGGTGGCCCGTGAGCCCTGGTTTTGCCTACAGAATGAGGTAGCACCCGAAAGAAGCGACCGACGTTACTAAGCCTCCCTGGGAAGGCTTGCAAAAGACGTTGCTGTCCCCCAGAAACCTGTTTTTTGCTGGCGCTGTGTCCATCTCACAGGCACGCCAAGCCAGTATCGAATGGATACTCTGCAGCCACAGCCCCAGAGCGACGTCTCGTAACCATGAGAAATGGCAGAGCAGAAGCAAACTTGACTTCTCGTAAAAGTACGATGCCAGGAAGGGCATGTTACTGCATTTCAGGTGTTTGCTGTTGTGAAAACACACATTCCAGTGTGCTGGAGCGCTGAAAACTAGTTAGTGTTGCCTTCTAGGGAGTCCCTCCCACACCTGCACCCTGCAAAGACCGTTTTTCCCTGTCGCTGAGATTAGGCTCCCTTTGATCTTATAGAAAATCTTATTAGGCTCTCCAAAATAAAAGCTTACTCCACGTCGTTTTTTATAGCAGCCACACAGTGCTGCTGTCATTCAGCCTTAAATCTAGAAATCAGCCTTAAATCTAGAATATTTTTATATCACAGCTTCGTTTTCTGTTTATTGAAACATTTCTAGGTCAGTTTTGCCCATTGAATGAGGCTTTCGTTTGGAAATTTCAAAGCAATGGCAGCATCTGTTTTGTGTCTGCTTGAAACATCTGCTTTGTTGTAACTTCTGATGGTTAGATTCTTCCAACGGATTTTCTGAAGATGAAAAAAAGACAAAATGCTCAGATATGCAGAATTCTTGATACTGAACTGGGCATAACTTTGAGGATCCAAAATCCCTTGCAAACCAAGCAAATTGCTCAAATGTTTAAAGGATTGTGTGCAAGTGCTTTGTGTAGCCGGGGCTCGGGGATCCTGCAGCTGGTCCAAAACAGCGTGTGAGGCCGTTTTCTCCTTTCCTTCTTCTTCAGGGCAAGCGACCCGTCACACTGGTTGGCTTCAGTCTGGGTGCGAGAGTCATCTACTTCTGCCTGCAGGAAATGGCTCAAGAAAAAGGTAAAATTCACCTCCTAACCTTTTTCTCTTTTCTTTTCCTTATTGCCGGTAGAGAAGTTTTTCTTCCAAAAGGGCAGAGTTCTGCTGGAACGGAGCTCGGGTCTTTTAGGATAGGACAAAAACCTCAACAGACGAGTTCGTTCCTGCATTTGGAGCCAAATTCTCCCGTTGTTTCCACCAGTTCAGTGGATGAAATCCGCTGTCTTTGCTTGAGGTGCTCCAGGGTGTTGGTTTGGTCTCCGGTCTGGGAACAACAACTTGACATTTTGTGACATTCAGCTGCTGGATCAGTCTGGGAGCTGCCCACGCGCTGCCGTGATCCTGGCAGAGGATGCTTTGCCTTTCTTGGAAGCTCGTATCTGACTCCCTGAGTCCTCCCTTCCATTTAAGTCACTGAAGATGCCACTGTCATCTGCTATTTTCATGGTAATTTTTCCCCAAAGTCAAGTAGAAAACCATCTGTCAATTTATTGCCCATTGTGGTTCCGTTTATTAATAGATTCTATTTTTAATTTGGAAAAAGAATAAAATCGTTATGATCAGTTGATGTAAATTGCATCTCGGAGTTGAGTCAGTCGTGAGGGTGTGCGCGCAGCCTGCCTTCCCCCCCACGTAGCTCATTTAATTCGTTAACCGTTTAGCCTCGCAACGAGTCGCTAATAAATGAGGAGCTTTATAAAGGAAAATCTTTAATAAAGCCCAAGAAGGTGGGAACAGAGTCAAGTGAGGACAGAGGAGGTCAGCATTTTGCCTCCTGACAGCTGCGTACCACAACTCCGGTTCTGCTTTAACATGCAAATCCTCAAATACAGGAATTCTGCTCTCAAAATAAATCTAATTAAATCCAGAATGATCCTAGTGGAATTATCCTGAAGCCAGAACCCAGATCCCAAGCCAGAGCCCTAGATCTACTCTTTTCGTGCCGTAAAAAAGGCTTTTTTTTAACATTCGGCAGCCTCTCGCTGGAATAACGTGGGACCGGAGCTAAGTAACACGCGAAAGGAAATCGTTAGGGGGCTTTAAGGTTGGCTGCCATTCTAAAGAAATCTGAGCGTCGTAATTATGTGTCGCAGCAGCTCCCCACCGTACGCTGATTTTTCAGCCCCTTAATTGAATTATGCAAGGCGAGCTGTTGGCGAGACGAGAAGCGGCGCGCTCGGCGCAGGCTGCCAGGGTGTCCCTCACACGCACGTTGCGGCGCGAGCCACAGAAGGGCTGGAACTGGGACCTGGGACATCTGAGAGTGATTTGGGGTTTGGCCTTGGATGCCTCACATGAAAGAAATACAAGGCCTTTCGCATCCAGATGGCAGCGGCGTTTCTGGGGATAAACAGCTAATCGTGGATTAGCCAGCGAAACGCCGTGGCAGGAGCTCAACTTCCGTGAAAAGAAAACGCTTTCCTGCAAAGCACTGAAATAACCTTTGGGATACTTCATCACAAATGGCTTTGGAAGCCAGGGCTTAGCCAGAAAATGACATTAGGGCAGGAGATTGGGTAACGGCCCGTCAGAGAGGAGTTACTGCGTGGAAGGATCCTTGGTCTGATTTCTTCATCACAATTCCTGCGCATTTTAGTGTGAACTAATGAAAACTGATAACGGCTGTTGCCACCAGAACCTTGAAACCTGGTTACAGCCTCGGGGTCTGTTTGTATCTGCCTTTAATTGACTAATCATCTTAACAGTGTTTAATTTGAGCCCATCAATAATTCCTTTTTTTTTTTCCCTCCATTTTTCTGCTTGTGCAGACTTTGTTGTTTGTCACCAACAAACTGAAATACATTTAATTTATCCAGAGTGTCAGCAGCTACGCAGGCCGGTGATCTGTTCTCAGGTTTCTATCCCACTCGGTATTTTTTAGCCAAGGCTCAACGTTTTTGTTCCCGAGCAAGAAATAAACTGCACAATGCCTGGAGAAACAAAAGCTCCCAGTACCTGATGAATTAGCTGTTTGTTTATTCAGTTGGCTCACACTGTGGCCATGGAATTTAGTACCTTGGTTGGAACAAGCTCCCCATTCGCAAGGCTCTGGGTTCCTTTTTCATTGCCTGTGATTATGGGAACAGGACTTTATTGCTCACAGATTACACTAACAAAATTGAATTGCTCTTTGCTCGACTGGTGCAAAATTTGCTTTGCAATAAGAAATAATACCAGGAGAGCTCCTTTGCGTTGGTGCCAGGCGCCAGGATTTATGCTGCAGAGAGAGCCGCGGGCAGCTCCACGGCGTTTGCTGCTGCCGGGGAAAGGAAGCAATTGACAGACGAGGGAAAAGAGTGGCTGGGGAACGGTGACCAGTGGTGTCCCCAGGGATCAGTGCTGGGCCCAGCCCTATTCAGCATCTTTATTGATGACCTGGATGGGGGGATTGAGTCTACCCTGAGGAAGTTTGCAGATGACACCAAGCTGGGAGGGGAGCGTCGATCTGCTGGAGGGTAGGAAGGCATCACGGAGGGACCTGGCCAGGCTGGGTCGATGAGCCGAGGCCGACGGGATGAAGTTCAACCAGACCAAGTGCGGGGTCCGACACTTTGGCCACAATAACCCCAGAGAGGGACCTGGGAGCACTGGGTGACAACCGGTTGAACACGAGCCAGCAGCGCACCCTCTTTTTCATCCTCTCTCTCTCTTCCCCGTAAACTTGTGTGTTGTTTTACAGACCCAAACGCCAGCCCCGAGAAGGGTTTGACTTCTTATCTCACACATGCTGGTCTCCGCAGGCAGGGAGCATGGATTTGGGCTGCCGTGCCCGTCCGCCTCCCGAGGTGAATTTCATTTAACCGCTACGGCATCAGGTGCTTGATCTCACCTCACGAAGAAGATTTGTGAATGTACATTAATGTGTGCTTAAGTGTTTGGGAAAGCAGCCAAGCTGCCCAATATTTCTCCTTTGGTCATTATTTCTACTGAAATATCCCAGCTGCAGCTGTCTGGTAAGAGAGGAAGGTTTATAACGCTTAAATGCCAACATTCATTTGGAGCAAATCATGCCCTGGGCATCCAGGTTAAAGTACCCTTTCAGAAAATCAAACCAGTTTGACAGATTATCACTCCGTGTTGGCAAATGCCTTCGTTGTTTCTCGTTCCCAATCGATATTTAGAATTTGGGGCTTTCCTGTTGTGCGTGCAGGTCACGTTTTTCATGAACTCAGCTCTAAGGACTGGTCGTGGGAGGAGTTTATTGTGCTTAATACGACAACATTTGCTCACTGTGTGGAGTGTCGGTCCCTTTCGCCTGTTCCCAAGCGTAATCGCTCGGCTCTGTGCCAACCCCGATCGATGTGTTGGTGGAACGAACAGGTTTGCCTCTTTCTGAACAGAGGCCAGGCCACCTCTCCCTCTTGCCGTCAGCTTAGCTCCCTTCGCTGTCTCAGAATCTCTGATTTTCACACTCACTAACTCCAGCTGGAACTGCGGACGCTTCACATTCATGCAAAATGATGTTTAAGATTCCCCTTTCCATTGTTTCCATCCTTAAAATTCACACCACAGAAATGGTGATTTTTTCTGTAGAACACATCCAAACACACCCCCCCTTCACATACGTGTAAAGATGTATTTGCTGATCCATCTTTTAAATCCGAGTTGTTCTCTTTTCGTTGACAGACTCTCAAGGGATCATTGAAGATGTGGTTTTACTGGGAGCTCCAGTGGAAGGAGAAGCCAAGCACTGGAAAGCCATCACAAAAGTCGTGTCGGGCAGGATCATAAATGGTTTTTGCAGGTCTGTACATGCTCCTGCCTCATTATCCTCACGTCGCTTTGGAATGATTTTGTCCATTTCATCCCTTTTAAGCATTTTGCAAGTGAATAACCATCAGCTGGTGAGCACGTTGGGTCGGTAGTGCCAGAGACAGCAAAGCCAGAGCTTCTTCCCTCTGGAGGTCTCTCCCTCAAGACAATTTGGAGACAGCAGCCTCCAAGAAACACTCAAGGGCTCTTCTGTCTCCAGTTCTTGGCTGTTTGCGCTGCAGAATTTCCAGGGAAGCCGGAGGTGCTCAGTGTGTAAGTCCTGCTCGTACAGGGCTCTGTCCCTGGCAGTGGCAGCATTGTGTCGCCCCGGCAGCTTCATTCGGGGTCTGTGTTTGTGCGCGTAACCTGACAGATTCTGAGGCCCCTTTGAATCTCAGGTGTATGTGAAGGACTATAAATACCGTCGTTAAGTTTGATGACCGTTAAAGAATATGAATTAAAACCTATAAAAGCCTCGCCATACAATTCGCTAGGGGCTGCTTATGGGGAAAATTGCAATGGAAGGGAAAAAGCTCAAGCAAATTGCAGTCAGTTGCTGGCCAAGATAGTCCCCATCAACGAGATATTTTACTTACACAGGATGTATAGCTGAAATAGCTGCAGCAAATTTATTGAGGATGTGAAAGAATACAAAGGTTACCTTGAAACCAATTATGAGCATTTTAAAACTGCGCAGACAGCTGCTATGCAGAGTGGCGAGAGCTGCTGGGTGAGAAGCGGGGAGACTGGGAGGCACGAAACAGCTGAAGCAATCTGACCAAAGCTGTTCAGAATTCGAGTGACAGACTGTGCACTGGAACATAATTGTGATAAGAACGCTGCTGACCGGCGTCATTAGAAGAGGGGAAATGAAAACGGAGGAATGAAACGGAGAAGACTGAGAGTGTGGGAGAATGAATGGAGAAACAACCAGGCAAGAGGAGCAGAGAATGTGGAATTACAAGTCAAGGCAGCTTATAAAGCCTCGAGCCCTCAGGTCAAGGATAGCTGAGAATGCTGTTGGTGCTTTCCATACACACACCCCCACAAACACGTTTGCCTACGCACGTACATGTGAGATGCCGAAGGGCTGTATCACTGTGCATCCAACACTGCTCCTACTCTGCTCCTGGGAGACCCCACCTCGAATCCTGCGTCCAGTTCTGGTGTCCCCACCATAAGAGGGACGTGGATCTGTTGGAGCGTGTTCAGAGGAGGCCACAAGGATGATCCAGGGGCTGGAGCAGCTCTGCTCCGAGGACAGGCTGCGGGAGCTGGGATTGTTCAGTCTGGAAAAGAGAAGACTCTGGGGGGACCTTATCCCTGCCTGCAGTGCCTGAAGGGACCTACAAGAAGGCTGGAGAGGGACTTTTTACAAGAGTGTCCAGTCATAGGACAAGGGGAAATGGATTTAAATTGAAGGAGAATAGGTTTAGATTGGATCTTGGGAAGAAATTCTTCAGTATGAGGGCAGCAAGACTTTGGAATAGAGTCATCCCTGGAGATGTTCAAGGCCAGGTTGGACGAGGCCTTGAGCAACCTGGGCTGGTTAAGGGCACCCCTGCCCATGGCAGGGGGGGGGGGGGGAGGAGCGTTGTGGGCCCTTCCAACCCAACCCATTCTGTGATTCTGCGTAACACAGTGTGCTAATTTACAAAGAAGAACTAAATAGAAGAGTTCAAAATATTGCAGGTTAAACTGACAATTTAATTAGCCCCATCTGTCAGATGGGCTGAAAATTGTTGCTTTTTGGATCACAGGAGGTTTTTATAGATGCCAGATGTACACTCCAGTTACAGGATTTGTTCATGTGACATAAGGAAAAAGCAATTGCCATGTCCTTGGGAGTGCTTCTGTGTTCCTCCAAGAAGCCACAAATGAGAACGTTTGTTGCATGTAACTGAACGTGCCCCAGCAAACACCGTTCCTCCCCGTGTTACCCAAAAATCAATTTCAGTGCAAAAAGCTCAGCGCATTCATCTCGTATAGGACACACACCCCACAAAATCTCGTTACAGTTTCAAAGCCTGCACATGCTGTTGGAATGAAACAGCGTGTGCGTGTTTGCCGCTGCGTGCGCAGTGGTTTGGTTCGGCTTGGCTTTGGCCAGCCCGCGGCTTGAGCAGCGAATGAAAAGTGATGTAGAAATTGCAGCTGGTTGCTTTCAAAGACGAAGAAGCAGGTGAGGAGGTGGTCAGGAAATATCTGGTTCTCTACTTCGCCCTCAGATGCTGGATTTGAGGGTTCCTCAGTTGGCACAGGGAGCCGCTAGAGGAGGTAATGGAGAGATAGGCAGAATTTCTGTGAGGGGATTAGCTACGAGAGAAGGATTATACAGACATTTTGTGGTAAGCCCTTACTAATAGCGATTTCTCTGGTCTCTCACTTAGACAAATCGTGGCCTCGTTCTGTCACTTGAGGAGTAACTCTATTTAGGTTGGGTGAAATACGTTGAATAGAATTCCCGCGAGATCAGACTGGGGCCCAGTTTGTTGAGCTTCGGGCCAGCACGGCTCATCTCCTTCAGCTTCCAAGTCTGAAAGGATGCGGAGAGCGAGCGCTGGCTGTCGGAGCTGCCCCATCCCACTCCACAGCTGGGTCACAAATTCCCAGCGAGAAACCTGAACCAAGGGAGTTAAACACACTCGTCTTTTGACAGAACCCACATCTGAGTAGCGTGGACATGTCGCAAAGATTTTGCAGAGCTCTGTGTAGACTTACAACGTCTAGCGTAGACCGTTCTGGAGCGGCCGGGAGCAGCCTGTGCAGGTGCATTTCACCTGGAGAACTTCTACCTGTTAATGCATTAAAAAGATGAAATGCGTGAACGTATCGCAATCTCTAAACAAATACAGAAGTAAGAAGGGTCAGGTTGTTAAACCTGCATGTAAAGAGGCTACCCCTATGAATCGGGATTAAATTCAGATTTACTGCTGTCGCCCAGGGACCTGCCCTCGACGTGGCAGCTGCTGCGGTTCCTGCGTCAGGCAAAGCTGCAGCGAGTCTCGTGCCTCCTGGCCCTTCTGCTCTCCTCGTGGTCTCAGCAGTCACAGAGTGCCTGGTTTGGCAGCAAGGGGCTGTTCAGCCTGGAGAAGAGGAGATTGAGGGGAGACCTCATCGCTCTCGACATCTACTTGAAAGGAGGTTGTAGAGGCAGGGGTTAGTCTGTTCTCCCCAGTGGCGAGTGACAGGGCGAGGGGAAACGGCCCGAAGTTGCACCAGGGGAGGTTCAGGTTGGATATTGGGAGGAATTCCTTTACTGAGAGGGCTGTCAGGCGTTGGCACAGGCTGCCCAGGGAGGAGGTGAGGCGGGGTTTAAGAGAAGCGTGGATGTTGCCTTGAAGGACGTGGTTTAGTGATGTTGATAGGGCTAGAAAAAGGCTGGACCCGATGATCTTGAAGGTCTCTTCCAGCTGAAACTGTTCTATGACTCTATAAGTCTATGATTCTGAGGTTTATTCACACTCTTCTTCTGCTCCGTTCCTAGGGGGGACTGGCTGCTGAGGTTTGTCTACAGAACCTCATCTGCACAGATCCACGTCGCAGGCCTCCAGCCGGTCGACTTGGATGACAGGAGGATGGTAAACATGGACCTTTCATCTGTAGTAAGTAGTACTTCTCATTTTCTCAGTTTTTTCCTCCTGCCCTTTGCTTTGCACCACTGTAACCTCACACTGGTTGATCCGGGGTAGACAAAGAGCACCTCAATGTGCCTTGTCCCTCTTCCCTTTCTTTGAGATAGTTCTCATCTGAGACTTTACTGTAGATCTTGTCAGCCCAGCCAGTGCCCAATATTGAGCCAAATAACAACGATTTGCCTCTCTTGCTGGGTAGGTGTCCTGATTTGAGCTAAACAGTTCTGTTTGGGGGTTTTGGGGGTTCTGAAATATCTCACGCTGGAGACAGAAAATGCCATTTTTCTCCAAGAAAGACCTTGCTGCCTTGCAAGCCCCGATCAGTGGGGAGGTGAGATCAGCAGCCGGGAAATACGGAGCTCCAGCACACGACTGCGAAGCACGTGCAGCCCGCAATCTTATCTTGGAGAGCTCAACACTGCTGAGGTTCATGCAGGGGCAAGTTTGCAGGCCTTGTACCTTGGGTGCCCAGGGCTGCAGTGACTCCGTGGTGCAGGATCCAGTTTGTGATACCAGTTGGTGACACCTGGTTTGCCAGGTCCAGACCGGGGCTGCTGCCTTGTTGGAGTGTAGGTGTCCAGGAACCAGGAAGAAACTCACCTGTACATCTGACAGATGTTTCATTTCCTCAAGGCTATCTGGTGTCATTAATGATCAGCCACCAAATGATACATCTCGCAATATTCAACTCAATTTCCTTAAGCAAGTTAATGATCTCATTGCCTTCTCTTTGCTCCCGAGTGAGCTCTTCCACAGAGAATCACGCAGACCTTTGCTGGCGTGTTCACATTTGAAGGAATCTTAAACATGCAATCTTGTTTTTCTGTATCATAATGTTTTAACTCCTTTTTCACTCTCTGCCAGCTGGGCTGGAAGATGCTGGGCACGCAGCTCAGGATGCTTCTGAGGTCACTGCTCGTGATATGACTCCTCCTGAATGACCCCACAAACTGGGAGGGATTTGTCAGCGTTGCCCTGGAGCCAAAGGCCCTTGGAAGGGCTCTCGGATTTTTTGGAACACCAGCCCGCTGAGCCCATAAATACCCAACTGTTACCAGCTCGTTTAATTCATTAGCACTGAGCTATGTACAGCCCTTGCCAGGAAACACAGGGCTTAACGCTCCACAGATAAAATAGAGACTCTGCAGAACAAAACAGAGGCTTCTCAGAAGGCAGGGGTGTAGTGGAGGCTTTAAACGTGGCCCAGCACTGTCGCTGTTCTGGTATGTTTGCCTCTTACTGGGCTGTCTGGGAGAGCTCCCACACCCATTTTTTCACTGTGCCCAGAGCTGCCACTCGTCGCTTGCGAGCGGTGACATCTGTTGCTGGCACGGAAAGAAAAACGGCCAAGCCCTGGTGGCCCTGGGCTGGTTTCTCCTGTTAGTTTCTCCGCATTACTCTCCTCTTTCTGACCTCTCTTCGGAGACCCTCTTCCCCTTGACCTTTTGCTTCCTGAGCTTTGAAAAACCCCTGGAGTCCTGCAGCTTTTCTCCTGCTTACCTGGCAGCAGCCGCTCTGTTTTGCCCCCCAGAGGAGCGGTATTTACATTTCAGCGAAGCGATAAGGGCTGCAGAGCCGCTATCGGCTCATCTGCCCGCGCTGGGCGTCTGTGTCCGTGCTGCGCGACGCCAATACACGATCCCAGCGCTGCTCTCATTTCCCAAAGAGCTGACATGTTCACTTGCTTAATCTTACTTCAAAGCACTGGGGAGGAAAAAGAGCAACCCCCACAGGGGAAAAAAAAAATACACTATGTAGGTGTCTTGGTTTTGATCCGTTTTCCCAACGTACGGAAAGAAATTTAGTGCAGTCTGATGGACATTTTAAAATCAAAAGGAGCAAGAATGGGGAAGGAAATATTCAGGGGCAATACTTTGTCAAGTGGCAAGAAGGCAAAGACGGATTTTGCTGCAAATGCAGTGTGTAACAGAAATATATAGAGGGATTTTCTGTAGTGGGGATGAGCTCCGTCCCTGCAGATGTCCGTGCTGGAGGTCCCCATGAGTCTCCTGCCAGGAATAAGAAAGGACAAGCTGCAGCAGGAGAATAAAGCACAGATGATGCCGAGGCGGGCAGCGTGGCAGCGTTCTGCAGGCAGTTCGGCACATCTCCCAGCCCAGCCACGACGAAAACTGGACGGGATCCAAAGGGCTCGGCTCTCTTTGCTGTCGTAGCATCAGAATCCTGAAATGAGAGGAAGACTGAGAGACCTCAGCGTAAACCGGAGCTCACCTCCGAGGCATTTGTTGCACGTCTCTCTCGATTAGTAAGGTTTTTATCTGAGTGTCAGGAAAGAAACTGAGAGAAAAATGTCCTCCCACGCAGCAAATACCGTTATAAAAGCCTTCCTAATGGTTACAATGGGACTGATTTATTCAGTAAATTTATTTGACAGCACCTGTTACAGAAACCAAGGAAGTCGTTGAGCTGCAGCGCGTTGGATTGATTGCTGTTTGTTCCAGCGGGGCATTGCAGATTACATTTTGCAGGAACATTTGAATATCGCAGAACGTGGGCAGAGCGTTTTCGTGCAGGCTCGCCAGGCGAGAACGGGTGCTTCAGTTTCTGAGGGCAGTTTTACCACAGCAGAAACCAGGGATGAACTCGGGGGCAGGAGGAATGCGTGGCCAAAAGTCTAGTAGACGAATCTCATCACTCCAATGTGAAAACTGCCTGTGAGATCTTTAGACTACTAACAGATTTTGCATCGACTTTAAAACTCCTTCCCATGCTTTCAGCGGCAGCTAAATCCTTTTCTTACTCTTCATCACCATAATTTGCATCCCACATCAACACAGCTTTTTCCCTCTTTTTTCCCCTCTTTTTTCCCTTTTTCCCCTCTTTTTTCCCTCTTTTTCCCTCTGAGATGCCCCAAAAGCTTTTTGCCTCTTCTTTTCTTTGCTGCTCCACGCGAGCAGTGGGAAAGCTCTGTTTGAGCCAGTGATTAAAAACCAAGAATAACCGATCTCTTTACCTCAGAAGAGGGGCCTAGGATTCCCATTAGCAGGCCAGGCGAACAGGTTCAAGGCAGGCTGGCCTTCAGCCAGGCAGGTACCCAGCGTCCGTAAATACCACAAGCGGATGAAAAGCCAGAATTTTGTGAAATCCGACTGATTTGGCATTTCTCCGAGCCAGGCTTTTTTTTCCCCAAACGCATTAAACTCTGTCGGTTTTTCTCCCGTTTGTTCCCAAGCCTTGCAGCAAAGAGCGAGTTGTGGTTATGAAATGGGGATTAATTAAGAGCCCCGGGGGGTCAAAAGGCAAAAGGTTTCCTACATCTCATTACACCTTTGCTTCGCTTGTTTCTAACGAGCCCTTCCCCGGTGAGAGGCAGGAACAGGATCAGGAAAGCAAGAGCTGAGGAGCAGAACTCTGTTCGAGGGAGCCCATTGAGCCTTCCCTCCCATGTCGGGGACTCGCAGGTCTCTGCGGACGCAAATCCATGTGCCTGCTGGGCTGTGCGGTCCCGGGGGTGATTTCTTCCTCTTCATCTGTCCCTACGACTCCAGAGCCATCAGTGGCTTTGGCTGCTGGGACCCTTCTTGCTGTCGATTTGGGAGCTCCGAGACGCACACGTTGAATACACATTAAATACGTTTTTCCCGTTGGGACGCAAGCAGAGGGTGCCGGCATCATCGGTACTTTAGAACAGAGAAAGAAACTGAAAAAGCTTTTCCAAAAAAGCGCAGGTGGGGCCACTGATAACTTGCAGTTTGGTTTTGCTTTGTGGCAGACAAAACCTCCAAGGCTGGCGGCTCTCCTTGCTTTACACAAGACGTATTGCTTGATCTTGAGGTGCCCTCTGGGAGGCTGCGGTTATTTCCCCGCTTCTGTTCACTCTCCTGGAGCCTTTCCTCCGTAAGGCTGGTGCCAAAAATGACGTGCGCGCTGCCCCCCGGCAGCAGCTTGGTGCCAGAGCAGCGTGACCTTCCTTGGTCATCGTTACATTTTTTTGTCCCACAGAGCACAACAATTTGCATCGCTGACCCTTCATGGATTTTCTCTCACACCTGACACGTTAGAGCAGCTTGCACTTGAGAACAGGCCCGTTCTGGCAAAGTCAGACGTCACAGGCTCCCTTCTTGACAGGTTTGTGGCGAAGAGGGTTGTAGGTGTTGCCGTTGCGAGGGGGC